AAGAGATCGACTCTACTCATGTATATGTTGAATTTCTGCTGTAGTGTTATTAGAGTTCTAGTACCAGATGCAAACTTACTGCTTGGTGGCTCCCAACTCCTAGTCACTCATATACCATTAATATCATTGTTGCGTCCTCGATGTGGTGTTAACTTGAGCGGACGGTTACTTGACATGCAGCTCAGATACGTGCAGTAGCTAAAGATTGTGATAATGTTCAGATTACCATCTTTTGTAACTTGCGAGTCAATTACAACCAAGTTGTTTCTGGATGTTCATTGCTTGCTTACAAGTATAGCTCTGCTACCCTATTTTCTTGCCTCTCTCAGCCGAACACTCCTTTTTTTCACCAGGTTTTGATCCTGGCCAAGAATGATTATTCACCGGGTTTTAGTGACAAACCAGGATTCACTCGATCCTGGCCAGGATCAAAACTTGGTCTGGAACCAGTCAGGTGCTGCCGAACGAGGCCTTAGTCTATCACATCATTGAGTTAGCATTGCTTCTTTCCAGTGGCAACGTCACCGGTTGAAAGGGCCTTCTCAGCTTAATCAAGACTGATTTGCGCAATAGAGTGAGCGATGAGTGGCTTAATGACTTGATTTTGTGCTACAGTGAAAAGGAGATTGTTAAAGGACTTCCTAAGAAAATTAAGAGCACTTTCTAATCCATGAAAGATCTAAAGATGAGTTTACCAATTACCACCTTCAAAAAGGCCTTGATGTTCTTAGTGTTTTAGGAAAAGTATGTCTAGATGTCCTTTTATATTTTGCAATGCTTTTATTTTTTCTCGAATACGCAAGTGTGCGTTGTATAAGAAGATGTAAGTGTATATTACAAGATGCCGTTTCCGGCCTGCCGGATATCACATAGAGGCTACATTTTTAAAACTGACATTCTAAGAAACATTGCTTTGTAACTGAAACGCTATCCTTCTGCTAGGACTCTAAGCCCCTCTGCGCCGGCTTCGATCCAATGGTCGGCTTCGGCCTTAATGATTTGCAGTGTATCACTGACCGTCGACGTCGAATTCCTGAATCAACGTGCGTTGCGCTCCTTCCAAACCTGCCAAGAGACCAACACGAATAGGGAGGGAGTCAAGGTCTGGCCGTCGTTCGTTGTTCAATACGAAGAACCACACTTCCCTGGAGAATGAGCAGGTTGCGATGATGTGGTCGATGGACTCTTCTTCCTGATCACAGAGATAGCAAAGCTCCCTTGCGTCGAGGCCATGTCTTCTTCTTCTGCCCCCGGTCCAGTGTCTGCGCCTGAGGGCAAGCCAGAGAAAGATCTTGATCTTTAGTGGCGCCCAGGTTTTCCAGACAAGTTTGTGGCCGAGGAAAGGAGTGGAGCCTGCATGTAGCATGGTGTACGCTGATTTGGCCGTGTATTCCCCGTTCGGAGTCCATCGCTAAATTGTTTTGTCAGGCCGACCAGTTAACCGAACATTGGCCACAACGTTCCACAGATGAAGGTAGTCAATGATGGCCTGAGTAGACAGTCCCCCGGCGATGCTGCGCGCCCATGCCCTATTCTGCAACCCCATTCTTACAGATTGCCGGCGGCGGATTCTTGCTGGCACTAGGTGATAGAGGCAAGGGGCAATCTCAGTGACTGATTCACCATCAATCCACCTATCTTCCCAGAACAGTGTGTGTGTCCATCACCCACGACAGTGTACGTTGATGCCTTGAAAAAAGCTTGCACTTGGGGGCAAGTTCGGATTGGAAGCTGACTCCATGCTCTGTCCTGGTCTGATTTGTGCAGCCACAGCCACCTCGTCTGGAGGGCGAACCCTGTAAGCTCCAAGTCATTGATCCCGAGACCGCCCAGGTCTGTTGGTCTGCAACAAGCCGGCCATGCTACCATACAGTTGCCTTGCACAGACTGATCTGAACCAGCCCAGAAGAACTTGCGGCGAATGGCATCAATTTCCTCGCGCACCCATGGCGGCAAATTTTTGGCCATCATGGCATAAATAGGCACTGAACGAAGAACAGACTTTATCCATATAAGTCTTCCGCTCCTCGCCATCAGGGAGCCATGGCACGGCGGCATTTTACGGGCTACTTGCTCTACAAGAGACTGGAAGTTTGCTTTTGGGATCGGTCTCGTGCTAAGCGGTAGTCCCAGGTATTCGATGGGGAAAGGTTGAACCTGACAACCAAGGATGGTGATGATGTCATCAATGGTTTCCTCTCCACCGTAGATGGGGGTGATTGAGCATTTGGCGAGGTTTGTGTGCAGGCCTGATGCTGCTCCAAAGATGATGAGTATCTCTTTGACAGTCGTGGCTTCCTGTGTTGTCGGCCGGATGAACAAGATCACATCGTCGGCATAGAAGCGCTTGCATTGGAACTTAATCTCCGACGGTCGCATCCTCCTGAGCACGCCGTCAGCTGATGCTTTGGGGAACAATCGGTGCAGGATATCCATTGCTATGATGAATAACATAGCCAGGGTGATTCTCTGCCTTGCAATGCTTTTATGATTAATGTCATTTTCTAAATGACTTGTCTTCAAAATTTACAGGTTCTGTACTGTATTTCCCCATTGAAACATGTATTATTGATAATTTTGTTATTAAAGAGTAACATCTTGATTCTTATTGGTTGTTCTACAGCCTTTTCTCTTAGCATGCATGCTGTTGTCGCTTAGCCAAAAATTTATAGTATAATTCCGCCCATTTCTGGTGCTGGATTCGCCACTGCTCCGCGGAGACCTCCCGCGGCCGACGCATCGCCGAAAACCCTCGTTGCAGTGAAGTGGAACTGGAAGGAAGATGGGAGCCTCTCTACTTCTCGAATCTCGATTGCGACGGGAGACGGGCAGACGGCAACGGGGTTTACATGGAATGGATGGAGCCTGCCAGCAAGTTGGGCCTTGAGGAACAGGCCCACTCTTTTTGCACTGTAATGGGCCGTATTTTCCTCGGTTTCCAAATATTCCAATGATTTACGTGTTCACCCACCCTCTCTCCGTAGCTATTGGCAATACTAGAGATCAACTGTTACGTATACGATTAATAATCTAAAAAAATCTGTTACGTACGATTAATATGAGTTGTTCCCCCACATTCTAAATTATATACAATTGCACTAGTAGTTCACATTTGTCAACGTCAAATAAACTTCCCTAATTTTAACCATATTTTTGGAAAAATATATTGACATGTAAAAATTCAAATAAATGAACCATGAGCACACATATTTAGAACCTAAGATAAGCTTGAATAATTGTTTATACTCTTTAGTAACCAAGAGTGCAATTAGAACCCAGAATCTTCTTTTCTTATAAAGATACAGCAGGGAGCTTTGAAAAATAACATGACTAGCATTAGAGTTTTAATTCAACATTACATGAAAAATGTATGAATTAATAAGATCAAAATTTGAAAGCTAAAATCTAGATGCATGAGTCAAGATACACGGCTGCAATAAGAGTTGACATAACTTTAGCTTTGTCCCAAGTCAAACTACTCTAATTTTATTTCAGTTTTTTAAATATGTAAGTTCAAATAAATGCACTATGAAAAATATATTTCATGGAGAATTTAACAAAAAATAATTTAATGTTGGTTACTTTTTTCTACAAACTCGTTCAGAATTAGACAATTTATTTCAAGATAAAGTGGCCTTCAATTTAGAATAAAAGGAGTATTATATATTATGTTGGGTTAATTTTATTATTGGTTTCCAAACTTATCTTAGGTTTTCATTCAAGTTGTATAGGATTATTCGATACATGAAACTTAATTTTAATAGTATTTTTATACTTTTTAAAGTGTTTTCTTCTTCCTAATTTTATCGGTGGGTTTATTTAGACTTTTGGAACCTATTTCAGCTCTAGAAATTTATTGAGTTCCTTGTGATCTATAAATAGGATTTCCCTAGAACCTTTTATGATTTTTAATATTTTTCAAAGCCATCAAGATTATGTTTTCAACTAAAAGTTAGTTTCCAGAACTCGGAAAGGTTGATTTCTGACCCTAGGGGCAGTGTCCAAACAACACTATGATGACCCACCAAATAATAGTCAAACGGGGTTAATCTGGACCAGTTTGGTTCTACCCGAAAATTGAGACAAATTCAGCATGGACTAGTCGATTATGGAATTTGGGAGTTCATGTATACTCCTCCCTAAATTTTCAAGGGCCGTTCTCACTTTTCGAAAAGCTAAACATACTCAATATATATAAGAAAGTATTAATACCTATGGTACATAATATTGGCATTAGATAGATTGTTAAAATTTTAAAAAATAGACTTATTTAGAGATATAAATATTACTAACATTTTCTACAACTCTAGTTAAACTTAAAAAAGTTTGACCTACACGAATACCATAACGACACTTAAAAAGGAATAGGGGAAGTACTTGATATGAATTCGGATAGTTTAAGAACCACATGTGAAACACACAAATTACGTTCCATCGTTTAAAGGAGGATTCAGAGGTACATGTGTCTTGTGTGTGTCCCTTATGTACCGTTAGAAAATTAGCGCATCTTGAGCCAGTGATGATTGTACCTTATATAAGAGCAACTCCAAGAGACTCTTTATATTCTTTCTAATTTAAAGGAATAGAGACTTTGGTGAAAAAATAACATCCAGTAGCCTCTTTAATTGGATCTCTAAATATAGACATCATCTGTTTCGAATTTCTCACTAACCAAAGATGTAGAACGAAGATGATTCATTAGAGTATGCACAAGAAATACAAAAGCTGTTAGAGGATACAAAGATATAGAAAACGAATTTTACTCAAATAACTCTCCAAGTGATGATTCAGATAGTAAACTTTAGAAAGACTCATGGAGATGCTATGAGAAATTAAAAAGAAATCGAAGAGCTTTATTTATCACTTGGTAACAGTACTAGCAGTACAAAATACAGTCTTGAAAATTATTGAAACAAATTGATTGGGCTTATTACAAATTGTACACAAATAAAGAATTGGTCACGAAGAAATGTTGTCATATGATGGGGGCGCCTGGCTACCTAGGTCAAGGCAGGGTCCTGGATCGTCCACAGCCCATGATAGACTTGGGCAAGCGGCCGACCTTGTCCACGCCCTCCTCGAACACCACCGCCATGCCCATGTACATGTACGTGCGCCTCGATGTGGCAGTGGAACAGCCACACGCCGGGGTTGTCCGCCACGAACCTCACCGCCGTCCACCCCTTGGGGTGCAGCGCCACCGTGTTCTTCATGACGGGGTCCCTCAGGTTGAACCTGGCCGTGTCCCTCTCCGGGTCGAACTTGCCGTCGCCGTAGGCGAGCACCCAGAAGTCGTGCCCGTGGAGGTGCCACGGGTGCGTCTCGCTCTTCTTGTTGAGCGCCACCGTGTTCTGCAGCACCAAGTCCACCACGGACCCTAGCGCCAGCCGGTACACGGCGCTGGCCACTGTCCCGTTCGCCGGCGGCGGCCGCTCGATGTCGTAGCTCCTGAAGTCGTACGTCTCCGGCGGGGGTCGCGCGTCGTACGCGCCCTGCAGGCCGCGCTTCATGGACACGAGGTACGGCGTCGCCGGGAACGCGAGGGAGACGCCGTTGATGGCCCACTTGGTGTGGCCGCCGATCCGGTTCTGCGTGTTGAGGAGGAGGAGCGCGCGGTCGGGCCGCGGCGGCACGGGCAGCACGTGGTCCGGGTGCGCGACGGCGAGGGACCTGCTCTGCTCCACCCGGGCCGTCACGTCGTCCCATGCGGGTCCCTCCGGCCGCGGCGTCGGCGGCGGCGCCCGCGGGTCGTTGCCGGCGTAGCTGAGGATGGCCATGGCGCTCGTCGTGTTGCGCTCCCGGGCCACGACGTGGGAGGCGGCCCAGTAGTTCCGGGACGGGTTCTGGTCGGCCTTGACCAGGACCGAGTAGGACTCGCCGGAGTAGATGTAGAGGCTGTCCACGACGACGGGCCTCACGTAGTGGCCGTCGACCTCCACTACCGTCATGGAGTGGCCCTCGATCGCGAAGTTGAGCGCCGACAGCGACGTCAGGCTGCCAACGCGGAGGCGGTACGTCTTCCCCGGCACGGCCGTGAAGAGCGGCGGCGGCGCGCATCCTGCGGAGCGGGGGACGTTGCAGGCAGCGTCGCTGCTGCCGTTGGGAGCACGCGAGCAGTGGAATGGCTCGAACACTCCACGGCCGTTGATGAGCAGGGACTGTGGCTCGCCGACGAATTTGAGCGGGTCGGACGCGAGCCCGACGGCCTGCTCGTACACGCTCTTGTGCCACCAGTCCATGAGCAGGATGGTGCGCTCCTCATCGTAGGTAAACGGCTCCGCCACGCCGTCGGGCGCCGACACGACGAGCATGCCGTCGAGCCCGGCCACGCGCTGCATCCCGTAGTGGGCGTGGTAGAAGTAGGTGCCCGGCCTGTCGACGACGAACCGGTAGGTGAAGGTGTCGCCGGGGAGGATGGGGCACTGCGTGACGCCCACGGTGCCGTCGGCCCACGGCGAGCCGATCTGGCGGATGCCGTGCCAGTGGATGCCGGTGTTCTCGGTCTCCAGCTTGTTGTGCACGGTGACCACGATAGTGTCGCCCTGCGTGGCGTGGATGGTTGGCCCCGGGGACTCGCCGTTGATGGTCACCGCCAGCTTCTCGACGCAGTCGAGGGACTTGTAGTGGTACGCGATGTCCCACGTGTGGTGGTGCACCTTGGCCTCCGCGGAGACGGAGAGCGCCGCCAGCGAGCACAACAGGAGGAGGACGGCGGCGAGCATGCGCTGCGGCCGCCGCGGCGTTGGCATTGTGTCGTACGTCGTCGGTCGTGAGAAACTGATCGAGAACGATCGACGAACTGGACGAAGAAGCTAGCTAGCTAGTTAGGTGATATTGCTTGGTGTGTGTTGAGCACGGGTGCTGCCACAGGGCCTTTATACGTGTTCTGGTGCGAACCGGTCGGGTGCAAGTGTCTCTGCATGCGTGTGCTCAATTTGGTGTACCATTTGAAAAAAGCACACGACGCGGGAAAAAGTTGTTAGCCGTCGTTATGCTGAGTTTTCTTCAAACACGACGCGACAGAGAGCTAGCGTCGCAACAGGGGCCGAGTCCAAGCAACGATAATGAACACGCGGTTCAATTTGATTAGTGTATACGTACATACATACAGTGAATAAAAGAAGAAATATTCAATCATTGGAGTGTGTCGTCGTTATAAGGAGGAGTATTTTTTTTTTTGGATCCGGACCAATTAAAAGCTAGCTCGTGCTCGTGTGCACGCCACCAAAGCCAAGTCTCGATCGATCGTTGACCGTACTTGTACACATGCCAATGGAAAGCTCGTGCTGCTTTGTCTCCAGGACCGGCCTGATCCAGTCATGCAAACACACCTTGAGTAACGACGACCACGAATAAGTGCAACAACGTGTTTACGACACTAAATAAACGAACCACGTAAACATATTTTCATGATAAATCTAATGCTTATTGTTTAATGCCATAAGTAGTCATACTTTTTCTATATATAAATTTAGTTAAACTGAAGATTATTTGACTCAATCAAGCTACGTGATAAGATGGGATATCCTACTTTATATATGCCCCCCTTCCCTCTGACCAAAAGTAATATAATTGAGGAACTGACCCGATCCGGTCCGATCCAATGTAGGCCTGTTCGGTGAAACTCTACCTCCTGTCCGGTCCGATCTAATGTAGGCCCCGTTCGGCTTACCCCATATTCGGCTTGTTCGGCTTCTTTTTTCAGCCGGAACAGTGTTTTTCTCTCACAACAATTCAGTCAGAACAGTATTTTTCAGCCAATTTTAGCCAAAATTCTGCTAGCCGAACGGGGTGTAAAAACTAACGAAGTCGTCTTTTTTTTTGGCTTCGTATGCTATGGCTTTATATGTCAGAAACCCTCATCATCCCCTAGCTATCTCATAACGGCTCATCAAGGTCTATGACCTTTTTACCTACAATGGTCATTTTCGCTTATCTTATAATCCGTATTTTTCAACTGGTTTTTTTAGCCGGAACAATGTTTCGGCTTGTTTTTTTCAGCGAAACGAACGGGGCCAATGCATATAATATATACCTCCCTATTATCAGCCTCCAAAGACATTAAGGTCTATGACCTATCACCTAATGTACTAAACCACCAGCATATGTAATATACACCTACACATATGTACCATACGCATCGTGTACATGTATATCTCTACCATTATAACCTTATCATGGATGGTAGGAACTCTCACGACTCGCAGGGCACGGGGCGAAGACCCGCCTCCCGGCAGGCTCCCCAGCGTCGGCGCCGGCCGCACCCTTGCTCGGCTCCCCCTCCCCCTCCCCTCCCCCATCCCCTCCTCCTTTCCCCACGCGACCCTCCTTCACTCAGCCTGGACTAGTCGATCATGTAATTTGGGAATTCATGTATACTCCTCCCTCCATTTTCAAGGGTCGTTCTCACTTTTCGAAAAGCTAAACATACTCAATATATATAAGAAAGTATTAATACCTATGGTATATAATATTGGCATTAGAATGTAGTTATGTCATTTATGTGATTCAGAGTAGCATCCATATTATGCACACCTGGTAGTGACAATAGTTTAGCTTTTGCAAAGTGATTTAGTTAAATATCTTATCTCTTGTTTGACCTGCAGTGTGCTTTGCTAAATTCTTTGTTGCTCTGTTGTTTGCTTGCTGAGTTCAGTGGATGTTGTCAGTGCTTTTACTTGTGTGCCAACAGTAGCAGTAGTTCAGTGGCCGGTTACAGTAGCAGCAGAGTAGTTGTTTCTTTACATGCCTTCAATTAGTTGAAGTTGAAAAAACAGGCTGCAGTGCTCATAGCTTGCTTATTATACTTGCAGTGCATATAATTTAATTAACTCATGAGCTTATACTTGCTGATTGCAGTGCATATAAAAGAATTTTCAGTACATGTTTAATTTGCACCTGTGGATGATCAAAATAATGTTAACTCCTGGTTTAATAAGCACATCAGCAACTTTTTGTGAGGGACAAGTCTGAAATTGATCAATTGTGTTCATCCAACATAACACGGTGTGACCGTGTGAGGGACAAGTCTGGTATGCTTGTTTGTGCAGTATGCCATTCCTGCTTAGGTGCTAATTTATTGGTGCACGTTGGATTGGATGAAAGCAACCTATGGGTGGGCTGAGAAAACAAATTCATTTGATTTGGAGTGGGGTTGGAATGGGGTGGGTTTAGTCAATTAGCAGGGCTACTACACTTGTTGTAGCTCATTCTAGGTCCAAGAACGTGCTTGAATTAGGAGCTGCTTATGGTGTTTTTATTGCACGTCACACAAGCTGCTGTAATTGACACGCTGAAACTAGCCCGTTACAGCACCATAGCACATGGTAGCTTTTGCTTGTTTTGTCCCCTCAACTAACTTGTTCCACTGATGTTTTGGTTGCCCTATTTACAGGACCACTCTGGTGGGGATATGACTGTCTGTGGTTTATGAGTGGAGCAATTCTGATGATGGAACAGAAACGCTTGTAGGAACCCTAGTCTTCTTTTTTGAAGAGATCGACTCTACTCATGTATATGTCGAATTTCTGTTGTAGTGTTATCAGAGTTCTAGTACCAGATGCAAACTTACTGCCTGGTGGCTCCCAACTCCCAGTCACTCATATACCATTAATATCATTGTTGCGTCCTCGATGTGGTGTTAACTTGAGCGGACGGTTACTTGACATGCAGCTCATATACGTGCAGTCGCTAAAGATTGTGATGATGTTCAGATTACCATCTTTTGTAACTTGCGAGTCAATTACAGTCAAGTTGTTTCTGGATGTTCATTGCTTGCTTACAAGTACAGCTCCGCTACCCCTGTTTTCTTGCCTCTCTCAGCCGAACACTCCTTTTTTTCACCAGGTTTTGATCCTGGCCAAGAATGATTATTCACCAGGTTTTAGTGACAAACCAGGATTCACTCGATCCTGGCCAGGATCAAAACTTGGTCTGGAACCAATCAGGTGTTGCCGAACGAGGCCTAGAGGGAGAGAAGACGAGGACGAAGGGGAGAGCGAGGGGATCACCGGCGAGAAGGATGAGGAAGGGGAAGGACGTATGGTTGGAGTCGATGGCGTCGCGGTCGCGGTCGTCGTCACCTCGCGCCGCCCCGCCGTCGCCTCCACTGCGGGAGCTCGTGGTCGCCTCGCCTCTGGTTCTCGCTTCGTACCTCGCGCCGCCTTCCTCTAGGATTCGATCCGGATGATAGGAGGTGTGGCTTTGTTCCGGGCTATGGAGGGAGCGGAATGGCCAAACCTGGTCAGTTTCCTTTCCGGGCCGTATCTAACCGAACGGCTATTCCTGGTCCAACCTGGCTTCGAACCGGGCCATGTCGATCCGGGCGGATCAGGACACAATCCGGGCCATTCCGGGCCAAAACGAACGAGGCCTAATAGAATTGAAGTTGTCTGCCTAATTGTGGTAGCAATACCGGTGCCGCTGTTTGAACCAATCGCATCTCCAGCTTCTTCTACTCCCCCCACCCACAACAGCTTCATCTGCTTCCCGCTGTGCACAGCACAGCCGCATAGGGCAGCTCCGCAGCTGGGCAGGAGCTGGAGCTAGGGGCTTGGCGGCTGGCTGCCTGGCCGGCTGGGGCCTGCCGAGGCACGGGGCGGGGCGGCCGTCGGCGGCCGGGGCAGCGGGGCTGGGTCGCCAGTGGCCGGCACGGCGGCGTCGAATCGGCCGGCGGGCGCCGGGTGGGATCTGGGGAAGTGGGTATGGGAAATTGGGGATGGCGAGGTCGCAGGAGCAGAGGCGTGACGATGCGGCGTTGAATCGGCCGAGCAGTGCCCAAAGGACTTGTTGGGCCGTTTCTAGAAGGCCGCGGCCCAGTCTCAGGCGCTAGGCCCATCACACTCTCCCCTCCATCGTCAGCGCCCAGCGACATCGCCCGCGCATTCTCCTTGTTTGCTCCTCCGGCAGTCCTCGTCAAGGCCGATAGCTTCACGTCCCAAATCGAGCGAGCAGCGACGGTGGCCAGCCTGCTGCGCGCAGCGCCTCATCCGTCCCAACTCCCAAATCGACCCAAACCCATTGCAGACCAACTCATGCCATGGCTGGTGCGGCGCCAGCCGCCCTGCGCATGTCGCACGCGCAATTCATCGAGCACCTTAGCTTTGCGGCCTCGTCAGTCCGCACCCGTCGCGCCGGCGACGCTCTCCACGGCTGGGCGCTCAAGTCCGGCGCAGCCTCCCACACTCCTGTCTCCAACTCTCTCATCACCTTCTACTGCTCCCTCCCGCGGCCCCTACTCGGCGCAGCCTTTGTCGTCTTCGCCGACATCCCCGCCGCATTGCGCGACGCCGCCTCGTGGAACTCCCTCCTCAATCCGCTCTCCCGCCACCAGCCCCTCGCCGCTCTCTCCCATTTCCGCTCCATGATGTCCTCCACCGACGCCGTCCTCCCCACGTCGCACTCCTTCGCCGCCGCGTTCACTGCCGCCGCCCGCGTGCCCTCCGCGTCCGCTGGCGCCGTCGCACACGCGCTCGCGTGCAAGCTGCCGTCCTCCTTTGGCTCCAATAACGTCTTCGTCTCAACCGCCCTTCTCAACATGTACTGCAAGCTGGGAGCTATTTCTGATGCCCGGAGGGTGTTTGATGAAATGCCACATCGGAATGCGGTGTCCTGGGCTGCCATGGTGTCAGGGTATGCCACAGGGAAGTGTTCTGAGGAGGCTTTTGAGCTCTTCCGGCTGATGCTTCAGGAGTGCCCATTGGAGAAAAATGAGTTCGTCGCCACAGCAGTTCTTAGTGCAGTTAGCGTG